TTCACGAGACATCAGACTGCTCTGTGCTCAGTAACACACTGTCCTCACAGCTTTGTTATTTAGAACCTACAGTGACCAATCACCTCTATGTAACCACAGTATTCAACCTACAACCTACACAAACTGATTATGACAGTGATTGGAATCATCTTTTATGACCTTGTCTGCTGCCTTTTAGTTCATTGTTTTGTTATTATGTTTTTGCCCTCAGGTAAGCCATCAGGTGATCGCCCTGTGAGGCTGCCAGGCCAGGTTTTACATGCAGCTCTGCAGGAGTGGGAGTTCACTGAGCTTCGCAATGGGCATCAAACCACAGGGCAGCCTCTTTACTGCCAGGGCGTCTTTGATGCCATCACTATAGGTGAGGTCCAAGTGAAGCTTTATTAGAGAGTAACGTTCAGCCACTGGTTGCTGGTGGGGCTTCAGAAAGCCTGAGAAATAAGGAGAAGAGAATCCTGTTGTCGTGTTTATCTTTCTAAAACTGGTGGACAAAACTATATTAAAATGAAACTTAAAGCTTTCATCCATTTTCTGCACCACATTATTTTCTCTGTGTATACTCAGATTTTTGACATGACAACTGAGCACACTCTAACCACAGATGAAGACCGCCCGAAATACTTGAAAGCTCTGTAAAAAAAAAACTACTAAGTTTGAGTTTAGACTATTTTGTCAAACTACTATTTCAGAAGTCAGCCAACTTCCTTTAATGTGGCACATATACATTTGTGTTTGTGTGTATCCAGACCAGAATGGGACGGTGCTGGTGTTTCGGGGCAGTGTGTACTGGACAGTAGCGTCTGAAGGCGGCGTGAGCGGCCCGCTGCCTCTCCGTCAGCGCTGGTCTGACCTCCCTCCGGCCATCGAAGCTGCTGCCTTCTCCCCGCTAGACTCCAAGTGGTATTTCTTCAAAGGTACCGCTTCACTGAACTCATTAATGTGACTCACACTTCCTTTTAAAGACATTCCCTAACCTATTGCCTAACTTTGCATATTTGTTAAAGCACCCAAAATAGATTCTATTGTGCCTATTTAAAGACTTAAACAGGCACTGGAGCCTCAGCTGTAGTTTTAAAATAGCTTCACCTTTGTGCTAAAGGCTAATAACTTGAAGTTATTGCCAAGTTTAACTTGACTGCTGAGGACCAAAGACCTGACAGTGTTACCTAGATTCTAATGAGCTGCTAAATGCAAAATACAGAAGCTCTACTCTGGCATTATTTGTACTCCATACATCATCTCAGTATTGAACAAAAGGAGTCACTGTCTACACTTTGCTCATGTCATTTTTTCCCCCTAAAGAACCCCAAAATAGTCACTCTCTGGATAAGAGGGAAAGATAAAAGTCCTCAGGCTACTGTCTTTTACAGGAGGTTACCCTTTAAGAGCAGAGCTCATTGCATTTCTGTATTTTGATATAAAGTATTTGATCTTTTAAAGAACACGTGGCCCAAGTGTGTTTGATCTGTGAAATGTTAAGTACAGCATGATGATGAAATCTAATATGATGGGGTTTTGTAAATGACTCCTTAAAACAAATAATGATTGAAGTTCAAAATGTTTCATTGTTGAGTGTACATTTTCCTCCTCGTCTCGTGGTGTGCAGGGAAGCGGATGTGGCGCTACACCGGCAGTGTGCTGGACCCAGGCTTCCCCAGACAGAGCAGTGACCTGGGGCTGCCTCGCCACCCCGACTGTGCCTTCTATTACGCCCCTCTGGGTCACATGGTCATCTTCAAGGGCTCCCGCTACTCTGTGCTTAACCTCAAAACCCTGCACCAAGAGCCCTATTACCCCCGCAGGCTGACAGACTGGACTGGTGTGCCACAGGGGACCAATGGGGCGCTGACCCGCCCCGACGGACGCCTCTACCTGTTCAGAGAACAGCGTTTCTGGAGATTTGACCCAATTAAGGTGCGAGTCACGAGAGAGGGCCAGTGGGTCAAGGATCTGAGCTGGACTGGCTGCAGCAATGGTCCTCAGAACAACAACATCCTTTGACCAGCAGAGGGCGCTGTAAGCTTTAGATAAGTGCAATGTGTTGATGTATACTGTAATACAAAGGTGCTATAACGTTTTCAGCCTGAACCCACATCGAGTTTATATGTTGCAAAATGAGCCTAGCTCAACAAACTGATGCCATGAAGGGATTCAAAAATAAACCCAGTTGGTTTATACGTTTTGAAGCACATATAATATTTATACTGCAGAGCAATGGCTATTAGTTTATATGGATGTGCTGTTATAGCCTCGTTAATACAGATAATGGTAGGACTGTGTACTCTTAAGTGAGCAGACCAAAAATGTTTTTTTAATGCTGTATCTGTTTCTTTTCTCTTATAATATTTGCACACTGAGAGAAGCTATTTTGTTTTATAATTTCTTCACCAGTGTCACTAACATATGTAACATATATGTATAAATAACTGTTACTAACATTGTCCTGTTATTGTGTGCTCCTTCCTAAGTGCTGCACTAGTAGAAGGCCTAAATCATCATTACTAAGTACACATTTCTGATGTGTAGGTCCAACTGTTTGGACAATATGACTACATTATAATGTGTAGGTAAGGTGGGTGAGTTGTGAATCATGATGGCTGTTATCACAAAGCTGACAGCCGTGTCGACAGTGTAATGCATTTGAAGAAACGGTTGCAGAGGGACAATAATTTGGGGAAACTTCCAGCTTCACTTCTTCCCTTTTCATCCAACCATTCTTCCTCAGCGTGTGTTTTTTTTGCATCACTGCAGGCAGAGCAGTCGTCT